GGGGGGGGGGGAAGATACTTACGTCACGTAATGGCGTATGTGTGCGTGTCTGTGCTGTTTGTGTTTTCTGTGTTCGTGTGTTGGTATATTCCGGAGAGCAGTGTGTTGCGGCAACGGAAGGAGGCGGAGGGGGCGGCGGCGAGGGCGGGGGGGGGGGAGGGGCGAGGAGGGAGGAGGGGGGAGGCGAAAGGGTTTGCCCCCGCGCGGGGGGCTGGACGGGCGCGGCGCTTTTTTTTCTTTTTTTTTCTCCCCCGCCCAGGCGCGGGGAGGGCCGAATTGCGGGAGGGGCCCGCGCGGGCGGGCCGGGCATTTTTCCCGGGCCGCCGCAGTCCCCCCCTCCCCCCCCCCTGTGCCTTCTCCTTCTTCCTCCCTCGCCCGCGCGCCCGGCCTGGGGACGCCCTCACATGGCACCCGGGCTTTGCGTGTCTGCTGGGGGTAGAAGGGAGGGAGGGGGGGGGGAAGATTCTGGCCTAAATTCCTGGCCTATGCCGCGGGCGAGGGGGGCGGGAGAAGGACCCGCGGCTGCCACCGCGACAACACCGACCCAACCTCGGCCCCGGCCCCGGCCCCCCGGCCCGGTGGAGGACGCACGCGCCGCACACGGGTGTGCTGATGGAAATCAGACCGAAAAAGAGTCTTTTTTATTCGAATCTCCCCTCTGCGCCTGTTCCCCCCTCCCCCCAGCCCCCCAACCTGGCTCCCCAAAAGCAGGGCGGAGATCGACGAAGGGGGGGGGGGGGGGCGGGCATGCGGCCCCCGCCCGGCGTGCGGCGAGGGAGGCAGGGCCGGGGGGGGGCATCTTCCTGCGCGCCGACTTGGCTTTCCCTGCCTTGGTCCGCGGCGGACCGAGATCTCCGAGGCCGCGGGGTGGGTGGGCGGAGCCAAAAAGCAAGAAGTGCCAACAGAGAGAACGTGAACCCTCGGCCGCGGCCTCTGAGGTCAGGCCTCCGTGGGCGGGCGGCGGCGCGCCTCACCGGCGGCACTTGCCACTGAACCGCGGCCGTGCGCGGTGGGCGTGCCCGGGGCCCAGCGCGGCCGCCGCCCGGAGGCCGGGCAGCTGGGAGGGGGGGGGGGCCTGTGTTGCGTCGTGCACGGGGCCCCTGTCTATATCTTGCGCAAGGGTCGTCGGCCCGGCACCCCCGGGGGAGATCTCCTCCCCCGTGTGGCGGCCGCCCTTGCGGCGACCGGCGCCTGGCGGGGTAGCCGCGGTCCCAGTCCAGTTGGCAGCTGCGTCGGCCGGCCGGCCGCCACGACCGGCGCCGCAAGAGGGCCCTAAACTGGACGGGCCCCGGGCGGGGGGGATGGGGGGGGGGGCGGGGGAGAGACAGTCTCCGCGGGGCTTTCACCCGGCCAGCCTGCCGGGCGCGTCTCCCCTCTAGCGAGGGGCCGGGCATGCCCCCCCCGGGCCGGCCCCCGGGGGGGGCCCCCCCCCCCCCCCCCCCCCCCCCCCAGCCGGTGTGGCGGCCGCCCCATATAACCACGCGAAAATGATGCACCTGCGCGGTGGTCCGGGCACCCCCGGGCGGGGCGCGGCGTGCCCCGGGCGCGTCCGGCTGCCGGTGCCGCCGCGCGCCACGGCGCCCCCGCGTGGGAGGACCGAGCGCGAGGGCGCCGGAAGCGTTGGGACATGCCTCGCCCCGCGAGGCGCATGATGCCAATGCATTTGCCGGACCGGGACTTCCGGCCGGCCCGCCTCCCTGGTGGTGGGGCCCAGGGCTGCTGGGGGCCAGGAGCATCCGCACACCTCCCGGCCTAGTCCCTAAAGCGGAGGGGTTCTGATATGCCGCGGCCCTGTGTGGGAATTGTATTCCAGGTCACATGCCCCGGAAACCATATTCCCAAGAGGTGGTGCTCGATCTCCCGGCCTGCCGCGGCGGCCGTGCCAACCAGCCGCACAGCGGGAGCGGGAGCGGGAGCGGGAGCAGGAGCGAGAGAGGGCATCAAAAGCGCACCATCGTAGCCCGCGGTGGCCGGCCGGCGGAGGGGGGACGGGGGGCATGTCCTGGGCCGTGAACACCGGCCGGCGCCGGAGCGGACGCCGCAGGGCGGAGGCCCCGATGGCAGGAGAACGCGCGCCGCGCCTGGGCTGGTGTTATCGCGTGCCCGCGCAGCCTGCTGGGGGTTGC